AAAGAGCCAGCGGCGACCGGGCTTTCCTGACGGGGAGGGCTGCTCGCTTGGAAAGGGATCAGGACCAGCGAGTTCCCCCTCCCTTTTTTTCTCTCTCTCTTCGTTTTCTGGCGGCTCGGAAGAAAGTGAAAGCTTGGAACGCGGCGGAGAAAGTGGAAGCGAGGAGGCGGAGGTTGCGGAGAGGGGCGAGAGAGAGAGAGAGAGAGAGAGAGAGAGAGAAGTGGGCGCCGCCTGGTCGCTTCTGCGCGCTCTCGACCGCGGCGGGATAAATGCTGGATTCGGGGCGGCTCGCTTTAGTCGCTGAGCCGAGCGGTGGGAGGACGAGGCGGAGCTGCAGCCGTTTTTTTCCGGCCGCTTTCGAGGGGAGGTACGTCTCAAGCGGGAGCCTTTTGCCTTTCCCAGGGATGAGTTCTCCGGGGAAGCGAGTTTCCAAAGCGCGCGCCCTTTTTCCCCCCTTCTTCTCCCTTCTTTTGTTTCTCCCTCTGGTTTGAATTGGGTTTCTCTCCTCCCTTCGGCTTCTTCCATATGGACGCGATTGGCTTGCTCTCTTTCCCTTTTCTTCCTTTCCATCCCACCCTCCCTCGGGGTCTCCCCAAGCGTCCCCCCCCCCACACCCGCGCCCTCACTGCTCTTCCTTTGCCCCCGACTGCCCGCGGCTGGGAGAGAGAGGTTGGTTCAAATTCTTGCATGCCGGATGACAGCCCGGGAGTTTGTTAAGACTGGCCCGCCAGCAAATGGGCTGAAATGTAATTGCTGGGGAGAAAATTGAGTTTGCGGAACAGAAATAACTCTGGGGCTTGAAAAGTGTGTGTGTGTGTGTGTGTGTGTGTGTGTGTGTGTGTGTGTGTGTGTGTGCAGCGAAGTGTGTTTCTCACGAATTTGATGAGTTAAATTTGCAATTTTCGAACAAGGCAGTTCGCCTCCCTCTGATGGAGCAGAGGATGTTGGCTACTGCGAACCGTTTGAGGATGGTAAGCAAGAAAGCAAGCAAGCGAGCAATTCTTAATTTCGGCCAAGGATCAGGATAAAAGCAAGAATAAAAACAAAGCAAAACCGAAACGATTTAGACAGCAGCACAGAAAACGTCTATGTTCTGATTACTTTCTGCCTATGGGGGTAATGTGCTATGGTTAATTCTAAACTCAAAACAAGTAGAAGTTGAGCTAAGAATAATCTAAAAATGAAGAGTAAAATCCTGGTATTTTTTTAAAACGATCCGTATTTTTTTTAAACTGTCCCATCCATAGGCAGAGCTACATGGCAGGCGTATGGAAAATATTATCCTTGGAAGTTGTTAGTTCCTGTCTAGATTTAGTATCTGTATGGCAGAATTTAGCAGCAGCCAAAAGAAGTAGAGTTGTCTGGTCCAAGAGGAGGATTTGCATGTAAAAAGCTTCTGTGTGCCAGGAGTATTTGTTGTATCAGGATAAATAAAAGGAGCCCTGGAATCCCTGTAAAAGCTGTATGTATCTCCAGCAGCATCTACATGACAAAGACACAGTGTCCAATGGGTTCTGGGTACCTTTTTGGCAAGTTTTAAATCTAGGAATAGGAGAACTTCTTCAGACTCTATACACGAGTAGCTTCTCAGATAGATCCCTTCTCCATATAGCATTAAAATTATCTGCTAGTGACAGAGGTCAAGTCTGTGAGCAGAAATTTACCTACAATCAATAGATGAAAAGCTGAATATTTCTTTCAATCTTATTTACACCAGCCTTCTGGAGAACTATATTTGAGACACCAGGTGGAAATTTGATACTTTGTAGAACCTTAAACAGAATAGAATAGAATTCTTTATTGGCCAAGTGTGATTGGACACATAAGGAATTTGTCTATGGTGCATATGCTGTCAGTGTACATAAAAAGACAAGATACATTTATCAAGAATCATAAGGTACAACACTTAATGATAGTCATAGGGTACAAATAAGCAATCAGGAAATATCAATATAAATCGTAAGGATAACAACCAACATGTTACAATCCTGTAGGCATAAGTGGGAGGAGATGGATGATAGGAACAATGAGAAGACTAATAGTAATAGTAATATTACTATAGTAGTTTAGATAGCAGTTTTTGAGTAGTTACCATAGGGCCTAGTGGACAACCATTGAGGAGCTGAGACCACACCTGGACATAGAATAACTTTAAAGCATCAAGGATTAGTATGGCATCCCTTGATCAATGGAAAATTTGATATGGCTGCATTCTAGACTACATGGTCTGAATGAGCCCTTCTCTCATCAGAGACTTGAAAATTGATTCTAAGGTATTTTAAAATATTGGTTTCGTCAATTCTGTGATCATTTAACTAGGCACCTGTAAATTCTGGGATGTTTAGCAAATACTGGGACTTTCTCTTTTTTACACAATTATTCCTAATTCTTCGATAAATGCTTTTGGCCAGTCAAACAATTTTGTCTTCAGATGTTTGGTGTACAGATGATCCTTCTATAAATTAATTGGATGGTCATTCAATTTTCTTCCTACTGTTATAGCAAATATTACTGCTGGGCCCCAATGTTCTGGCAATTAGAAAGGGTGAGTGATACTGGGGTTTACCATTCTAAGGTCTTACAGTTCTGCTATTAGGTAATCCTTGCCTGGTGCATTTTCTGGTTTAGGTTTCTAAGCTTAATTTTTAATTTCTGGAGTTGTTACTGGTAGCTATCGGGAAGAGGCATTCAGATCAATTTGATTTGGCTTTTATTTATGTGTTAAGAGAACTAAAATGTGCCTCTCAGATGTTAGCTGGTGTTGTAAAAGTGGGGCAAAGTGGATGTTTTAATGATAGAGTTGCCAGAGTGGAGTTGAGTTTCTGGCTTCAGTGGCTACTGTCAGAAAGCCATTTCCCTTGTCTTCCCACAAAGCAATTGCTTCTAATGCCTTCTCTGCATTCTTAAATTGCTAATAGGACATGGCTGCAGAATATTTCTGATATTTATTAAAAAGCCAAATCAAACCTTTCTTGGCTTCCAGGCAATGTACATCAAAATACCTTTTGGGACTGAGGATGATCCAAGAACAGGTTGGAGTCACTGAAGTAGATTAGAGCAGTGGCAAATAATTGACTCACCTGAACTGTTAGTTCTTATAATTTTGATGTGCTGACTCAGAATTTCAGATTTTAGTAAGTGTTTCTTCGTGTTATAATAATCCACTTAATCCAAGTAGAGCAGAGTCCATCTCATCCCATAGTTACAATTCTTAGGACAAGCAGTTTGTCAGGCACCTGCAAGATTAAAATTCCCAGGAAATGATCACCGTCAGGCCAGCTCAGTATAGAAGAGCTCTGTATGAAGGGAATTGTGAAACTCCATAGTCTATTAGGAAAGGTCTCAATGCCAGTCCTGTGGGAAAATTTTGTGGGATAGTCAGTAGGAGTTGAGCAAGTCATCAAGGTTAAATTCAGTTTGTAGAAAACCTAAAGCAAGCAGAGCCTACAGAATCTTTGGACTGATGAATAAGTGGAAAAACTAGAGTCAGTAATTGCTATCAATGCACTCCATTTGGCAAATGGAAAAATACATTGCTTTATTCAATTGAAACATAAGGTAACATATGAATATAAGCAGTACCCTGTTGGATTGGATGGCCGGCCCATCTACTCCATCTGTCTGTTCTCAGAGTGGCCAACCAATTGCACAAGGAAACCCACAAATCTCCCAGCACATTATCTTCAAAGGTAGCCACGGTGACATCAAGGCTTGCTTTCCTGTGACTTTTAGGAATTGGTCCAACTGTTTGTTTGTTTTTTGCAGCCAGCCAGGCTAATAGCTCTACATCTCATGGTAGCAGATTCCAAAGTTTATTTATATGTTGTTTTAAATGTTTTGTTCTCCCAGATTCAATTTTATTGGTTTACCTCAATTTTACTAATCAAGGAAGGGAAAATTAACTTCTCCTTTGCTATTCTATCCATACCATGCAAACTTTTGTACTCTTTAACTCTCTCATTCACTTGCTTTCTATATTAAAAAGTCTCAGATATTACATTCTTTCCTCTTATGGAGGTTGCATTAGCCCCCTGGTCATCTTTGTTGAAGTCCAAACCCTCTCTAATTCAGCAAACTTCTTTAACTCTGCAAACAAATCCAATAAATAAATAAATTTCCACCGCATCCTTTTTGAGACGCAGTGAGAGAACTGCCCACAATATTCCAGCTGTGACCTAACAATTCATTAGGTAGAAATTGACTGCATTCACAAGTAATGCTGAACCATAATTTGGTTAACCACTATGAAAGTATAAAAAAATGATTGTATGGATCATATAGACAGGAGCTTAACCTGTGTACCAAATCTTGGTGTTGCCATTGTATTTATTAGATGTTATCTGTATGTTTTGCCTTCTCTCAATTTGATCCTGGCATCTCTTCACTTTGCTGAGTCAGAACACTCTTGAAAATAAATACAAATTATTCATCTCTACAATAATAGCATTAACACTTAGACTTATATATCACTTCACAATGCTTTAAAGTCCTCTCTAAGCAGTTTACAGAATCAGCATATTTCCCCCAACAATCTGGGTCCTCATTTTACTGACCTTGGAAGGATGGAAGGCTGAGTCAAACCTTGAACCGGTGGGAACTGAACTCCTGGAGTGAGCAATTAGGTAGCCTGCAGTACTGCATTCTAACCACTAGGCCAGCACGGCTTTTATTTGTAACCTCATTTTCCCATGTGTATTTACTTGCAGTGCTCTATTTTTCTTACATTTCTACTGTTGGGAAGAATTTATCCTCATCTGGTAGGAGTTTGCCTATTTTCTCATCTGAAGACTCCTATGATTTGCTGTAACTGAGGAACATGAAGGATCTATGCATGTTCATGTGGGACACAGGTTATGATTATCAGCATTCTAAAAGTCATAATTCCTAGTGCAACAATGAATCTCCCATATTGCAGCAATTTTTCCTGACTGAGGTATTGTCATGCTGCTTGCTGGTTTTTAATAGTGGTAGCAATAGCACTTAGAGTTCTATATCACAGCCTCTATACAGTGCTTTACAGCCTTCTTTAAGTGGTTTACAGTGCATATTGCCCCCAATAGTCTAGATCCTCATTTTACCCACCTCAGAACGATGGAAGGCTGTGTCAACCTTGAGCTGGTCAGGATCGGAGGAATTGAACTCTTGGCAGTGAGCAGAATTAGCCTGCAATATAGCATTCTAACCACTGTGTTTCTCCAAATGACTCCAATTTCCAGTGGAAATCCTATTGCATACTTAAACTTGTTTTAATAAACTAATGAATAAAGCTTTTACATGGAAGACTTGGTTTATCCCAATTCCGCTAACACCACCTCTAAATACAGAGTAGTTTTCTTGGTATAGGACTTTCTTAAGACAGATTTAGAA